GAAAAAGTTTCGTTAATTCTAACTTGTCATTATCTGAAGGCTTTGTTAGTAATTCTATCTGTAGGTTATCAGTAGTTCCATCTACATCACTTAGGGGCTTACTATTCTAGATTAAGGAAATTATCCTACTATTACCTCAAAAATAATGCTTTATATCTAAGTTTTTTTTCTCCAAAGTAAGCTGTCTTTACCACTAGTAAAGAATTTTGTCTATCGCCCAAGTGACATATTTTTAAATTAGTTTAGTTGTACTGACGAATTCGCCCCGTAATTGACAAATTCGTCCCTCATGACTTGATGATGAAAAAATCAAGTTCTATGCAAAAGTAAATTTTTATAATTTATTTTCAATCAATGCATTAACTAAGTAGAGACCCTAATTAATAAAAAACGCTTTTAATTTAGAAAAGTTTACTTATTTATATGCAAATTCATTTTGTTAAAGTAAAACATAACGAATTTGCCCAGCCTTAATCTAATCTTAAAAACTTTTAAAGAAAAAAAAATCAGCATCATCATAAGTTCTAAACACTTAGCTGATGTTAAAGAATTAAAGGTTATTGGAATAGATGGAAAAATTGAAAAGTCTAGATTAGTACAATCTGTCTGGTAAACTGATAAAGATCCTATTATTGTTGCTTTAACCAAAGAAAAACATTTACAGCAGAATATGAGCCAACATCAAAAAATTGTTTGACTTATACCTAATGGAACTGGTATTAACAGAGCGAACGCTATGGCTAATGTTTTGACAGAATATAATAATGTTCATAGCTTAGTAGCTGCTATTGTAGATAACACAAGTTCAAATGCAGGTGCAGATAACGGTTTGGTTGTTAAACTTGAAAAAAATCTTTAAAAAAGTTTGTACTTTTTAGGATGTTTGCTGCATCAAGTTGAACTCCCAGTGCAACACATTATATGTAAATTAGATGGAAATACAAATGGCCCTAAATCTTACAAAGGGCCTATTGGACATGCTGCATCTAATCAAACTCTTCATGAGCAGCCATTGGTCAAATTTATTCCTATACAGTCAGAAATACAGTTATTTGTTAATATTGAAGTTATAAGCGATCTGAATACAGATTAGCGAAAGCTTTATTAGTACTGTGTCAGTATCTCAAAAGGTTTAATTTCTAAAAAATTTCTTGCAAAAAAACCTGAACAGTTTCTCATGCTAGATGACTAACTTTGACTCTAAGAATAATGATGGTTTATGTTAGGACTGATAAACCATCTCCTGAGTTATTAGTAATGACTAAATATGTTGTTCAAGTATATAGTGTTACGTGGTTAGCTATTAAATGTTCTGAAAAGTACAAAGATGCTTGTCAACTTCTTTACAAAACCATTCAATTAGTCAAGCTTCAAGATAGCAGTATTCAGAGTATTGTTTTTTAAAAGGAAACTCATATTGTTGTTTGCAAGAAAATTTTTTATACTGCATGCTGCTGGATGAAAATCAAGGGCTGTTGACTCTTTAATATTTACATAGTTAAGAGTGAAATCGTATGCACAAGACATTTTGGGATTTCCTGGTAGTATAGAATTAAGTTCACAACAACAAACTTGGCTGAAACTCTGCAAAGTTTTCTGTTTTATATTACGTTATTCTTTAATAAATAATACTCTTTGTTGTTCAGAAATGCCTTCAAACTGTGCTGCAACTAACTGCGCAAATACGAGTGGAATTTTTGCATCAATTATTTCGAAAGTTCAATTTTTATTTAACAAACACTAAGGGAAAATACCTTCTCCATAATGCCATTTCTACAGTATTTATGTTTTAAATATAGTCATGCAATTTATGAAATTCTTGGAGCATTGTTTGAATTAATTATTATTGTCAACTGTTATACTGACTTCTTATTAACCAATCTATTTGTTGATAAAAATAATACTCATTTTAATCTAATAAATTCAAAAAAATTTCATGCTTATAAACCTGCTCTATGTGATGTAACAACAAAGCAAAATAACATGTTACAAAGGAAAATAACATGTTACTGTTGAGGGTATTTCAACTTCGGATTAAGAAATGAATGTTTTGTATTTTAAAACCTCTACCTCAATAGAGAATAAATGTTACAATAAATGGTATGTTAAAATGGTTTCAGGTGCTTTAAAAAAAAGTTTAACTTTGAACTCAAAAAAAAGTTGAGCTGTATTTTCACTTCTCACTTTAAGCATAATTGTTTAGAAAGTTTGATTAGAACTATTCAGAGCGAAGAGGGTTGAAATGAAAGACTTTCAAACAATTTGGGTTAGCTTACCTGAATGTTTTGTTGTTGTTGTCATTATAAACTAGCAGCTTTAAAAACAATTGTCTTAAAGAAATAGATTTTAGCGTTGTACTGCATATAAATGCTTTATTTAAACATTTTAAAAAAACTAAATAAACAAGATTGTCTATTTTTTGCTGACAAAAATCAATTCTTATAAAGAAAACTATTGTACAATGCATGCAGATTTATCTAGCTTGTTAAAAAAAGGGTCTGACTGTGTCAACAGTGTGTGGTAATACTTTTTGGTGAAGTGATGGATATTAGGCATGGTTTAGAGACCAATATGAAAACAAACAACCTAAATTTTTCACCAAAATCTTTATTTATATCATTGATTTGTTATATTCTATTAAACATTGTGCATGTAATTTATTGAAAAGAGGCTTCGTACTAAAAACCTAGCTTTTAGATGTTATTTAAAATCATGGATTTCTTTACTTTTAATTTTATTTAAAGATTGCATTTAACATGCTTTTTACATATAAAAAAAAAGTTTGCATGTTTGTCAGAACAAGAATTTTGTCTATTATTCGGCTGTACATGATCTATGTAAAAGAAATTAAAAAAAACTTTAATATTGATACTTATTAAATAATGCCTTTATGTTTTTCTTTTAAAAATCTGTTTTGATTTTATGAGTTAATGTGTGTGTATATACATACATACATACATACATACATACATTCATACATACATACATACATACATACATACATACATACATACATACATACATACATACATACATACATACATACATACATACATACATACATACATACATGCATACATACATACATACATACATACATAAATACATACATACATACATACATACATACATACATACATACATACATACATACATACATACATACATACATACATACATACATACATTCATACATACATAGATACATCATGTATTTATGTATAAATGTATGTAAATACATTTATACATATATATATATATATATATATATATATATATATATATATATATATATATAATATATATATATATATATGCATACATATGTGTGTGTGTTTAAACTTGAAACTTGATAATGATAACTTGCTATGTAAATATTACATGGTAAATTGTTTTATCAAGTTTCATTTGAAGATTTTCAAATTGGTTTATTATTATGACCCGATAAGCTTTATTAAAACATGATATATTTAATACTACACTGTGATATTGCTGCTCTTTTGAAAAATGAGAAACCTATAATTCTAATATGGAATTTTTATGAGAAAGTCATATGAGAAACCTATAATTCTAAAATGGAATTTTAAAAAAAAATGTCTAAATAGTATAAAAAAATAAGATTAATTCTATGAATAGTTTACAAAATAAATTTAAAGCAATCAACATTGAAAATAATGTATTTATTTGTTTTTAAATGTTATACTACCAGGGTATCCCACAATCCTCTGTAAACAAATTACAATATTTAACGCGAGTAGACAGCCCTTTATGAAAATCTGTATATAAGAAACCAAGCCCTCAACCAAATCCTAAAAATGAGAACGTGGAAATAAGACATTAATTTTAAAGCAAAGCTGAAGCTGAAATCTATAATGAGAATAAATTTTGATGCAGATTCTTGGGACTATCTTGTTCCTGTTGATGATATTCAGGTTGAGCCCCCAACAACTCTTAGCATAACGTCTGAAAAGCTGAGAAATGCTGTTGAATCTAAAATTCTTTTTAATTGACATGCCTAACAATTTTTAATCTGTGGTTAGAGCAGTAAAATTAACCTCTGAGGCATCTAAACAAGTTTATGGTCAAGAAAAGCGATACAAATTCATTTTGACAAAAAACCAAAGTCAAAAAGAGAATAAAAGAGACGTAAAATAGTGTGACTATTTTATAAAATAAATGTCTAATATTTTAGTTATATTTTTTGTTTTGTAAGTCTTTAACTGCTGATAAAATATTAATTGCAATAATCAATGTTTAGTTCATCAAATTCTTAATTACATAGACCTCCAGGTCAGTTTCTAGGGGTTGCAGTGGGGAAATGCACTAGGGCTCCAATTTGGGGGGCTCAAAATGGTCATGAGCTTCCTAATAATGGTTAATGGTTCAATATTTTTTTTTTGTTGTTGAGGATGTTTTTCACCTTCAATAAAAAAAATTATTTTACTATTGACAAAAAATTACTATGGGGGAAAATGCAGTTTTTTTTTAGTTTCCCAAAAGTTTACATTATTGGACTTCCACCCTTTTTTTGGTATTAATGTAAAAATTGTTTTTGGTATTAATGTAAAAATTGTTTTTTTGGTATTAATGTTAAAATTGTTTTTTTGGTATTAATGTTAAAATTGTTTTTTTGGTATTAATGTAAAAATTGTTTTTTGGTATTAATGTAAAAATTGTTTTTTGGTATTAATGTTAAAATTGTTTTTTGGTATTAATGTTAAAATTGTTTTGAAACTTTAAATCTATATAAGTATTTTATAATTACCAAAAATTTGTATTAATGTGAAGTTTAATTATTTTAATTATTAATGTGAAGTTTTTAATTATAAATGTGAAGTTTTTTATTATTAATGTGAAATTTTTAATTATTAATGTGAAAATTGAAAACTTTTAAACTATAAATCTATATAAACATTATAAGTAGCTTTTTAAGTTGGAAAAAGATTATTGGTCAAAATTTCATAAAATAATCTTATGAATATTTTTTTATTTTATTCCAGAACTCGGATGAACTCGCATAAAAATAAAATTATCACTCATGTCAACAACAGTGAATATTGGAAACAACTTGAATCAGTTATTGATATTAAAAAGGACCGTTTATGGGATGGATTGACTGAAGGATTTGAATTATACAATAAAGTGTTAAACGAAAGAGCTTTGCTTATTCAAGATAATGAGTTGTTACATAAGCAGGTAGAGTTTGTTGTCTCCCCAGTTGTTAGTTACCTAAACAGCAGAATGTGTTAATTTACCTGTTGATTTCGTTTTCATTCAAAATCAGATGGGTACGGAATGGTACAGCAAACAGGGTATAAAATAGTTCAGCTAATGGGGTATAAAATGGTAGCTGATTGAAATTAATGCTGATTTCTAAACATATCAATTGTTTTGTTTTAGTATTTTATATTTAAATGAAATTATTAATAAATTTGTTTAAAATAAAAATATAGTTAAAAACAAAGTTATTCCATTTTGAAAATACTTTTGATTTTTTATAAGATAACAATAAAAAAAATAAACTGACTATTAAAAACTAAAAATTTATTACTCACGTCTTTCTCACTTTTATTCTGATAAAAATTTATCCCTTTCTCACTTTTATTCTGATAAAAATTTATTTCTCACTACTTTAATTAGGAGATGTATGCATGCAATTGTAGGTAATAGTTAATTATTCAGAATAATAATTCTTCCTCACCAATAAGCTGATAAGGAAATGCATATTTTATAATTCTTTGTTCGTTAGAAAATTGTATAGATAATGAACTTAATTCCAGTTGAATGCACACTTCCTACCTTTACTCCCCCCCCCCCACCTTTCATACACGCATGCATATGTGACTTGATTACAGTGTTTGTTATTTGTTTGTTAGAATGGTGAGTTGAAAATTCTTCTACATCAGTACTTAAGCTCAAAAGTAAGTTTTATACATATTTGTTTATTGACTTATATAATTGTTATTTTATTAAATGAGAATGCAAAAAATTGAAATGATTAGAGTTTAAAAATAATAAACACCATGAAACATGTGTCCTAACCCTAAATGTGAAAACAATAATTTACTTAAATAATAAATTTATATTCATCAGCAGTTTCATCAACATCAAATTCTATTGAATAATATTTTACTGTTTGAAAAATATGATTATCTAAAATTTTCTGGAGTTTTAGTTGTTCCCAGGCTCCAGTTACTCTCAACTCTTAAAACTCTAATTTGATATAAGCATAAACTTTCCCAAGTATGTCTGAGAGTTATCTCAAACACTCAAAAAAAAAAAAAAAAGTTGGCATAATTACTGTTTATATAGCTAAGCTATTGCAATCAATAAAAATAGCAGCCTTGTTAGTCAAGGTTCTTGTTTTGGAGTTGAGTTTTGGAGTTTTGGAGTTGAGTTTTGGAGTAGAGTTGAGAGAGGGTTTTAACCACCATTATAGTAGCTTTCTCAACTGAGTGGCCTTCTCGGCCTTGGGAAAGTAAATTAACATGAACAAAAAAAATTAGTTTAGCTAGGGTAACTTATTTCATCCATCACTCAATCTCGCCCTTTATCTTTCAAGTCAGTCAGTGAACACACCACTACATCAAGACAAAAACATTCATTTAAAGCAGCAAACCAGTCTTCATCAAATTAAAAAAAAACCTTGACCTCAAAGAAATTATAATTAAAGAAATATCTATAAATGAAATTTTGTTGATTATTGGTATTTTTTGAATAATTTGCTGCATTTAAAACTAGTTAATCTAAGTTAACTGAGTAAAGAGGTTGTTACACATTTTAAGTTATAGTTTTATTATGTTTTATTTTATTTCGTTTGAAATGATAATCTATGCCTAAAATTGTTAAAAAGACTGGTTCTACAACAAAGGTTTCAAAATTTTAGAAAAAGACTTCTTCATCATGATGCAACTCCTTTAACTTTTAATAGTAGTGCATATGATATTAGTCAAATGAAACAGCTATCAACACATTATTTTTTTAATTTGTGTTAGTAAAACTAATCATTCAGTTGATCAGTCATTCGCCGTTAGGAAACGGTGCAAAATCATGAAGTGGAGTGAAAAAAATATTATGAGTGCAATTAACCTTTTTTTTTGGTTGTTTTTTTGAAAAAAAAAGGGGTACGTTTTTTGTTTTTTTTTGGGATTTTTGGAAATTATTTACAAAATCATTTAATATTTTATATTTCATTTTTACAAGCAAAGATTACAGGTTTTGTAACTTCGTCATCTGGCTTCTTTCGGAAAGATAAAATATATATATATATATGTACATATATATATATATATATATATATATACATATATATATATATATATATATATATATATATATATATATTTGCAAATAAATATTGAGATGTTTATCATAAAAAAAAATTTGCAATAACCATGTAATAAGTTGTATTAGGGTGACCATGTTCCTAATTTTTATGTAGGAGAACATAATATTTTAATTTTGATCATGTTTTGCATAATTGAAATTATTTTATATAAAATATTATATGATAAAAATATTACATATTTTTATCATATAATATTTTAATGCTGAACCTAATGTAGCCACTACTGCTGTCGTTGCTCGGAAGGTTATTTAGGTCAATTTCCTTTTTTTTTAATATATAAATTTTGAGATAAAATTGAATGTTATCTTAACATAAAAATAGCAATTGTTACTTAAAACAAAAGAAAATTGTTGGTGCGTGTCAAACAGGTGAATTTGCGTGCTATAAAATTTTTTAATTTCATTGTAAAATAACTAATTGAGTTTAGAGATGAGTTCACTTTTAAATGGGATAAAACGATACATTTAGCATCATTTTTGCGAATTATAGTAAAAACGTCAATGTTTTGACCTTAAAGCAAAAAAAAGTGAAAAGTAAAAAAAATAATTCGGAGATTAGGTTTATCATTTAATTTCAAAAGAAATAAAAGTTAATAATAATACAAATATAAACCTATATTTTTAACTAAAAAATATTACTCAACTAAATAATAGTATTAAGATCTTTCTTTGACTGTTCATTGATAAAATCATCTAGTTTAGGCGTATGAACAATTTCAATTATAGATTCAGGTTTCTTTTTAATCAGATCTTGCAACACCGGGACATCATAGGAAAGCAGCTTATTTAACATATTGTTCTTCACTTCAACTTTCAGTTCCTTATCAGCAAGAGCAAAAAATACTTGTTGGGGGGACAGGTACTAAGTGTGACGGCTAAAGGCTTTGGTAAAGAACCTTTCCCACAACTGCAAATTCTTTAAACTCATCCATTGTTTGCAGCTGAAAAGCAATATGAATGCCATCAAATCATTCAATGGTGCTTGAGAAGCCATTGCGTATTTAAGAAAAAAGAAGCTTTGAAAAAATACAATGTAGCTGGTTGCAGCCTTCAGATTACTTAACGTGCTTATATTACCAGATTCAGAATCAACTGGGTAGTACATTTGAGTCATTTGAATCACCAGCAAGTAGATACAATCTGCCATAAATCTTGCTTCATGATGAGCTCCCGGTTGTTTAAATGAGAAGTTTGGTAACTCAGCTCCTAGAAAAAATGCCAGAAGCTCACAAAGATACCTGTAATCTCCTCTCTAGAAAGTACTCTCACGAAGAGTTGTGATACAGAGTTCTTTAATATCCGAAGCAAGTTTGTACAACAAAGAGTTAGGTCTAAAGGCATCTTGAATCCAGTCAAATTTCACAATTCTCTCTAATTTTTTTTACATCTCTATAAATCTGCGGCCATATTTTTTGGAGAGTAACATATAGCTTTCTGCTGGAACCATTGGTTGGACCAAATATTTCCTTCATTACATGAGCTACATGTCTTTCATAGATGTGATGTCTACACATTAGCCAAAGAACCGGTCTACCGGGCATATGAAACAATAATGCTTATAGCACCCTTTTTTCTCCCAGTGTTACTGGATGTTGTGTCCGAACACAATCCAATAATCTGATCAGACATCTCATAATATTCAAGCATAGCTTAAATGGCAGTAGCTTGATCACTTCCCTTAGAACTTTCGATTTTTAAGATGCCCAGAAGGAAGTCTAGCAGACCAGACTCGGGTGAAGATGCGCTTATGGCGATTCTATCCTCGCTTTTACATACACCTTTTTCTTAATTGTATCTTTTCAATATTTTTGTGTCAAAGTGTACCACAATTTTCAAACCCCTTACTTTATCTAAATTTTCCTCTCTGATCATCTGTGCCTCAGACTCCACAACAGTATGGGTCTTCCTGTTTAGAGTTGATCTTGATATAGGGATATTATCAATATCAACACCACCAGCTTTGTAAAGAGAATTCAAAAGACACATACCTGGTCTGACTCCAACTCTAAATCTGGTCATAATTGGAATCCAGTTGTAATTGGAATCCAGCAAACTTTCAAATCATTATGAAATCTTTTTTGTTTTTTCTGGACTTTAGCAGGAGATAAATAAACTTCATCGTATTCACTTTGATTCTCACCAACTGTGCTTAAAAAGTCTACTTCCAAATGGTTACTTTCTTTTTTCTTATTTTTTTCCGCATGCCTTTGGATCTAAACTGACATTTTTAGAAGTTTTTCCTTTGCTCTGTGAACATTTTCACTAAATATTTTATCAACATTGCTAAATTTATTCATATCCCCTCTCAGACAATGCCTCAAAAATTTTATGTCTTCACTCTTAGCCTCGTCATCCCTATTTTTATCAATTTTAATTAAATCATATGTTTGATTTTTGAATAGAAAAAAGAGCACTACTCTCTTTCAAAAATTTGTCAACCTTCTTGTTGTAGCTGCCCTCGGGCAAATCTTGTGTTTTAAGCATTTATAAAGTGTGATACTCTTTAACTTTCTTGGTAATTCTGGTCTTTATAGTTTGCTAGGTCACAGTGAAAGTATCGCTAAACCCACCTTGTTCCCACAAAGTGACTAGCTCCCTCAGAGTACAGGCATTTGTATTTAACTGCTTGGTTTTTTTTTGCACCCTCCGTCAGCAAACCTGGAGCATCTCAAATAAGTCTTACCAGAAGCAACTGGGCAGCCAATTATGATGTTGATCTGTGTGGTACTAAAACATTTTAAAAATTAGTTAGTTAGTTATTTACATTAATTATGTTGGTTAGTTACTAATTTACCTTGTGTTTTTGTCAAGATTAAGCCAGTAGTACCTTCTGAGCATTTCTCCATTTGTGGGAAGTCTATTGGGGGCAAAACTCTGCAAAGGAAACCCAAGCAAATGAAATTGTCTTTGCTTTCTTGTAATCTTTGACGTGTTAAGAATATCTGCTTTAAGTGAATAAATTATCTGATTGTCGCGCTCTTGGTCTAGGGGCATTTTTTTAAATCAACTATTTTTCATTTAAAATAAAATCAGAATAGTTGGATGCACAATGCATTGCACATTATATTGGACGAGTTTTTTATTATTATTATTTTATTGCCATCGTTTAATTAGAAAACTTTGATAACATAATATTGAATTTATTTAAATATAATATTAAATGATCCCACATTTTTATCTAATAATGATTATTATCAATGAAAAAAAAAAGACTAAATTTTAAAATCAAGTTAATACCTGAGTTTTGGTAAGTAAAGAGTTTTAGTAAGTAAAGAGTTTTGTTTTTGTTGAAAACAACTATTAAAAGTGATTTAATAATAATTTAGCTCGAGTTATTAGATACGCATCATTAATTTCTATTGTTCGCCATTCTTTTGTCAAAACATGTGTTTGTTTGAAGAAGAGTAAAATTAATTTTACCTCAAAATTTATATATAAAAAAAAAAAGGAAATTGACCTAAATAACCTTCCGCTAGAGCTAGAGACCTATTTTTTTTTTTGTTCGTCTTCATTTTCAAAATGACGCAGAATGCAGTATTCTGCACATCAAAATTCAATATACGATACTTTTTTGAGACACTTTCATTTTCTATTCCACAGGTCTAATACAGTTTTACAAAATTTTTTATAAAAATAAATCAACTTGGTACTCAAATGGAGGGAAATTTTATATAGATCTAAAATTAAGCTGTGAGTTGTGATTTTTTACTTATAGAGGGTTTTAAGGCACCATCATCTCTATACATAAATAGAGAGAGAAAGGATATCTTTACGTTATTGAGTGATTTTGTTCTTCTTGTTGGTAATCAATTATGATTAAGTTTTCTAATTAGGGGACAGAAATAAAACCTTAGTTGCACAATTATTTAAACCTCTGAACCAAATTAGCAAAGTAAATTTTGTTAAATGTTTCTTTTGCAATAACATTATACCTAAAAATTGACCTTGAACAACTAAGCATCTTGCAAGTGTCCTGATATAGTACTATATGAAAATGTCTAGATCTTAAAAAGATTTAGGGATTATTTTTCAATAATTAAAAAAAATTTGGAATAAATAAGTTGCGAATCATCAGATGAAGGTGGTCTGGGTCTGGGAAACTCTGAATCAGAAAGGTCCAACTAATGCTGCAACACTAACACAATACTACTGCCTTTTTTTAAGTTCTGTTTTTTTTTTAATTAAAGTTGATTTTATTTTTTTAAATTCAAATTTTTATATATTATTTATGGTAATACACACTAAAAAAAAAAGGTAGAGAAATCTACCTTAGGATAGGATATGTGACATACCTTTGGAAGGTAATAATAAAAATAATGATTTTTTAATTTTCTATCTTAAAAAATATAATTTTCTACCTCAAAGGTATACCTTTAAATCTAAAAAAAGGCATATACCTTAAGGTTTATACCTTCATTAGGGTATATCACATATCCTACCCTAAGGTATAAATTCCTACTTTTTTTTTAGTGTGAACATTGTTTTACAGTTGCCAATGCATTTTTAATACCTCATATAGTTTAAATTTTAAAATTATTATTTTAATATCTCATATAGTTTAAATGTTAAAATTGTTAAACTGTTGCTTTCTTTAAATATTAACACTTTTAAATTATGTACAACACTATTTAGCACCTTCAACAACTAAATTGATTATTTAAAACTAATAAAACATATTAATATTTCATTAATTTTAAATTTTCTTGGAAATTAAGTACAGTATAGCGCTTTTTTTATAAGGGCATACAAGCGATATATATATATATATATATATATATATATATATATATATATATATATATATATATATATATATATATATATATATATATATATATTTGACAAATATAACAAACTAACAATGTAAGACTAAATTACTACACAATATAAAAATACTTAAAGAAATAATCTTGATAATTTGCTTATTTCTTTGAGTATTTGAAGTCTTATATTAGCATGATAATGTAAATATATTAGCATACTAATATATTTACATTATCAAAGTTAAAATGGTAATTTTCTTATAGGATAAGAATAGTTTCTATATATAATGAGAGTGTCACAATTGTTAAGAAGTACAACATGATAAATAAGCATTACCATGCCAAGATTTTTTACTAACTTATAGCTAATTTAATTTTTATTAAAAATATAAGTTAAATTGGTTTAAACATGTAATTGTGCTTTTAACAGTTATATACTAGAATAAAAGAAAACTATTCCAAAATGCCAAAAGAAACTAAAATATTGCTAAGACTTCCAAGCAACCAGTAGTGGTTTTTGATTAAGCACCAGCATGGGGATAGATTTTCTCAACAGCAATCTAAGGGCACAGCCTCAGTACAGCATTAGTGCAGGGATAAATTAAAAGTTTCAAAGTATTTTAGGGCCTTGCAAAATGGTGGACATGATTAACCAGAATCCATTTCACACACATCAAACTGGCTTCAGCCATGCTATCACACCTTATTCAAGCCACTGAAAAGTTATTATTGCTTATCAGCCCATAATCTTATGGGTCAGTTTCCAAGAGTTATTACTTTTTGCACTGAAACATTTAGTTGTAAACAGCATGTCCAAAAATATGTGTGAAAATTAAAATCAAACATTTGCAAGAGAAACGGAAACTACTGAATTGTAAACATTTGCAATAGAACGCAAACTACTGAAGTCAATTGTTCTACGGTTAGTATTAGCTTATTGTGTTTCTGCTAATACTAATATAAAATAAAAAGTTATAACTTAAATTTTAAAAATAAGCAACTTCAATACTCATATTTTATGTACTTTTTGATATTAAATTCTGAATGAAGCATAAACTTTACTACCTTGTATTAATAATTGTTTTCTTAGGAATTTCAATCATCAATTTTTCACAAAATTTGTTTTTCAGAAATCAATATCAAATCAAAGTATGAAAGTTTCATTGCATTTGGTACAGACTTGCTTCTCTGGATTTTGTAATGATTGCTAATCTTTTATAACAATTACAAAATGGCATTGAAGAAGATTGTGCAAGTCATTCTTTGCAAACTAGTAACACTTCTATTTTATTTCTTCTAGTGTTATTCATAGACTCATAACACCAAAATTGAATTCTATTGCAATTTCAAATTTTCTGTTTGCAAATTTTTTATCCCCTGATAAGTAAATTATTTCATAAAGTCATCATTAACTTCATAATAACAATGCAACTTTTAGTACATTGAGAAATAATATTTTGAATTTATTTGAATATTTGGACACCTATTGCATGTATGTTTTTATTAAAATGCTGTGTAGGTGATGGAGATAAAGGTGTCTTGACATATCCTGTTTAATTAAAATGCTGTTTAGGTAATGGATATATAGATGTCTTGGCATATGGACAAAAAAAGGTAGTAAGCAGAGTAGGTTAACATGAGTTCTTTGTTTTAATTTCTCAAGAAAAACTGAAATATCACCAGGACAAAATCCAACAGCAAAGAAAGAAACGTGAAAACAATTGCAAATTACCAATGCTGATAAGCAATTTAAAGAAAGAAAAAAAACTAAGCTATATTGGCTGAGAAAAGAAAACTAGATCGTGCCAAAAAGATTAAAACAACAAAAAAGAAGTCAATTTCAGTATCTTCTTTATCCCGACCATTGGTTGGTACCATAATTTCATTGACGAAATTAGATAATGTTGATGTTTTACATGTAAAAAAAGCTTCAACAAGCATTATTAAACCAGAAATAAAAAAACCACCTGACAATCTTGAAAATAATAAAAAATCAATAATTGAAGAAGTAAGTTATTGAAAGAAAAAAGGAAAAATTGACAAAAAAAACTGCAATAAAAATAGAACTGCTTGTGGGTTAATGTGAAATAAACTTTTTTGTTTGTGAGAACAATTCTAACTAATATGTACTCAATTTTTAAAAACTCTTTTCATATCAGTCGCTATTTATTTCTATTGTTGATGTATGTCTATTTATTTCTATTGTTGTTGTATCTTAATGTAATATATCTTTAAATATATTACTAATGAATACTATATATTGTATTATTTACTCAAAATTTTATTTTGCTACCTTATAATATGTCATTTTTTGCTGCCTCATAATATGTCGTATTTTGCCACCTCCATAAAATATTATTCTTCGGAGCTATCTATATATAATATAATATAATAGCTATATATAATATAATATAATAACTAATATAAATAGTTTCAAAGTAATTAAAATTAAAACAATAAATTGGGTTTGATCACAGAACTGAGCAAAAGAAATTCCATGGTGTTTGGCATTTGTATGCTTCAAACGCACCAAGTGGAGCGTTTGGAGTCTACAAATTACCTAACGAGATTTAATCTTGCACACTTGTATATAATCAAGTGGATTCAAGTGGGCAATGTTCAGTGCTTTTGACACCTTGAACAGTTTTTAATGGTAATGTTAAACACTCTTATAAAAGTTAGAACAGTCTCTATAGTTTTGTAGCTGAAGGACTAAGCAATCTAATGATGCATAATCCAGATGTAAGTCTATAAACAACCTGACAGCATCAAATTTAGTGCGGATGTGGGTGAGGTTCGATTAGGTTACCTTAAAGATTTAGCTAAGTAATTAAAAAATATTTATAATACTAATTTCAATTATTAAGAACAAAATGTATTTCCATTATAAGTTTTGAATTAGTTTTTTTTTATCCTAAAATGTTATTGCAGTACTTAAAATATTAGGAAAAAATCACGATTAACAATTATTTATTGTAAAACTTTGCACTGAAAGAAACTAATATTTTATTTTTCAATTTTTTACTGTAATTTTGTTTAATAAAGAATTTGATGATTTTATACACACCTTAATTCTGATTCTGGCTTTCAAGATAAACGCGTTAATTGGTCATTTTTTTAAAACTAAAACTGTTACCAGTTTTTTTAAAACTAAAACTGTTACCAGTTTTTTTGCTGTGTAATTGTTTTAAATGTTTTTAGATTTTTTGTTTTTTAGACGAACCAGCAACTTTTGATTCCTCCAGCCAAAGTGTTTTCTTTAGAAACTGAAAACCTCTCAAGAAATTAGATAATCAAGAAAAATGTATAAGAACAATGCAAAACAGAAAACAAATTATAATTGGAGGGGGGATATTTTGTTAATATTTTTTAACAAATTATGTTTTGTTTAGTTTATTATATAGTCATATTTAAATATATTTCTTTGATTTTTTTATTTAAGGAAAATATAATTTGAGTTATTGTTCAATTTTAAAATATGCTTATTTAAATTTTTTCTTTATCTAGAGAATTAGAGATGCTGCTGATAAAAAAATTTTCTCTTGATTTTATTTTTTTATCGAAATGTGACACCATTTTTTTTTTTTTTTTTTTTGTTATCAATTATTTATTTTTTTAAAACAATTTATTTTTATAGAGTGTTTTTTATTAAATTAATAGTCTTAATCTTAAAATTTAGTGATAAATAAGTCTGGTTGAGAATAGTACAAAAAATATTTTATCAACTGGTTGCTCTCACGTTTAAGGCAAGGGGGGCTTAAAATTTTTTTTTTTTAATTTTTAGACTTTTATGTTCCTAGGCTTCAATCATCACAACTTTTTGCAAATCACTTTATTTGTCGTTAGTATAAACTTATAAACTTTTTGAGTTTCCTCTCTGAAAGTTAACTCAAAAATCAAAAAATGCTAGATGCAAAAAATCCGCCTAATTAACACGTACCGTAAGATTGGGTGGCTTTGGCCCATTTTGCATCTTAATGTCTATTGCATGAAAGCCACAAAAGTTATTTCCTCAAATACTAAGTACTTTTAGAAGCGCATAGAAAGGACAGTTAGAACTATCTGTCTCTCATTTGAAAATTATTTATCTGAAGTATCTTTTGGGTGGTTTAAATGGTGGGCCAAAGTCGCCCTATGTGTTAGGGTGACTTTGGCCCAACCCTGTAAAAAGGAATTAAAGGAAGCAAAACAACAATAAAAACAACAATATTTAAGCAAAGAAAATAAATTTACAAAAATAAAGTGACAAAAAAAGATTTAGTAACAAAGTTCTTGTATACAGTAAATAAAATATAGGTACAAACTAAACAAGTATAGGTACCAAGTAAACAAAACAGTTTAGGTATAAAGTAAACAAAAATGACAAAAATAATGTTTTAAAAAATTTAGTGAAAAAATTTTGAAACTGAATAAATTTTCTTTTTTTGAAATTTTCTTTGGTTCCTCAATAAAATCGACTATTTCAGACTGGGGAAAAAAAAGTTGCTCTGCTGGTAGTGACCATTTCCAGTTATGTCCATTTTTTTCATAATTGTAATTTCTGCTCTTTTTTTTTCTTAATTTTTTCAACTGCAGAAAAAAAAATTTCAAAAGTTTTTTTTTTAATTTTTCAGTAGTTTCATTAAATAATATTAGTTATTAAATTAATTAGTTATGAAGTTTACTAATTGATTAGCTAAATTTAAATAACTTAAAATAAATAAACAAATCTGTCCAGGAGTTAACTCTCCATTGCATTTAACAATTACATAACAATTCTCTACAAGATTTAAAAATTTCTCCTTTTTACAAACATTTTTTGTTTTATCCATATTTTGAAAGTTCTTTTTGCCTAACGCTGAATGATCTAAAGATTCTGTATGACTTTCTACAACTAAACTTACATCTGCAAAAATTAGATTAAAAGTCTCAGTAGTTCCAGTATTTGTACTTAGGCCAGCAAAGTCAATGTTGTTGGTCTCAATTGTATTTATAATACTGATAGATGTATCTACATTATTTGAATTTAATCTATTATTTTCATTTATAACAGAAAATGATATATCTGTTGAACATAAGCTTTTACCTGGGACAGCACATACTTTACGTCGCTTTGGTTTTTTAGAACCATCTGAGAAATCATCTAGTGACTTGCATAAATGATCTAAAAATGATTGGCTTACTAAATCAGTAGTTGAGTCTAAACCTACATTACAACATGGTAGTCGTGAAAGCACTTGAGACTTGTCTAATGGAAAAATTCCAGTTTTGCGAAAACCAGCTCTAAGGTTATCATTCCCATGTTCACTTAAGTTGATAATTAAACGGTATAAAAGTCTAGAAAATTCATCTTTAGGAAGAGAAGCAACTCTTCTTCCTATTTCTTTCTCCTTCCATTCACATAATATTTTGCAACCAGTTAATCTTCATAGGTCTAAAGTAGGCAACATAACTGCACCAGTTAATTTTCATAGGTCTAAAGTAGGCAACATCTAATGGCTGCGTGAGATGTGTAGAGTTTGCTGGTAATGCCACAAATCCTATGTTATTGCTTTGACATGCATCCAGTACTGCAATGCTCAAATGTGGAGATACTTTATCACCTATAATGACACTTCTTCGTTGAGCCTTCTTAAGTCTTAGAAGAAGTAAAGAGAAAAACCAGTCCTCTAAACATGTTGAGTCAAACCAACCACTTTTTGATCAGTTATAACGTGCTTTTGGTGGCCCATGTTCCATCCATGTATTCCATAACGACTCAGCTTTGTAAATAACATAAGGTGGTAGCAATTCACCATTAGCATTGCCACAAAACATTACAGAGAATGAGGTCTTTGTAGAATTAATGATGCGTTCAGGATACTTCCATCCACGCTTTGTTAATTTTTTTTTTTTACTTGGATCATCACTGAGATTGGTTTCATCATAATTCCATAAATTATCAGGTGATATATTACTTATTTCATTTGATAGATTTATAAAGTAGTTATCAATCATAGTCGTTCCTATTTCTGCTCTCATTCGCTTTATGTTGCCTGCAAATCTTACTGTGAGTTCTGGATTTCTTTTTAAAAAAGATCGAATCCAATCGCCACCTGAAAAATTATTATACTGAGGTTTAATGACGCCTTTTTTCTCTAAATACCCTTTTACTATGCATCTTAAATCATATTTATCAACAGGAAAACCAAACTCAGATGATTTTATTGCATATGCCTTAAACATGTCTTCATCTTTTGATGTAAATATTTGCTGACCAGCATACTTTTTAATATTTTTACCACCATACTTTTCAATTACTACTACAAAATTTTTCATTCCAACATAGTAACTACCATAATATCTATAAAATTTTTCATTCCAACATAGTAACTACCATAATATCTATAAAATTTTTCATTCCAACATAGTAACTATCATAATATCTATAAAATTTTTCATTCCAACATAGTAACTACCATAATATCTATAAAATTTTTCATTCCAACATAGTAACTACCATAATATCTATAAAATTTTTCATTCCAACATAGTAACTACCATAATATCTATAAATGATCACTAAAAAAGTTTTACTCTAATACATGGGGTGACTTTAGCCCGGGCTAATGTCACCCTATGTAGTGGGCCAAAGACAACCTACTTTTTTTTAACCTCAATTACAAAAAAGTAATAAACTGTTAAGTTTTCAAAACAAGATAGAATCAAACACTAATGATTTAAAATTAATTCAGTGTATATTTCAATAAAAAACTTTCTACAGGTACTGCTATCGATGTAAAAGTTTACACACCTAAAAAAATTCGGATTTTAGGTGCTTCTTCTAAAGCGCAATTAACAATAATATCACAAACACTCGAGTTAAGTAAACTAAGTTAAACTAAATAAATAATAAATTTCCCACAATTTGCTACTAAACATCAACCGGCATACCTTAAGGAATCGATTTTAAACCATTTTTAAACAAAAATTTCTGTTGGGCTAAAGTCATCCCGTAGGGCCAAAGCCACCCAATTTTACGGTACTAGTTAAACAAATTTTAGTAAAAAAATTCTTCAGGGAACGTTTGACAAAACAACAAAAAACTACATCTAATCCACATCATTTTAAAATTAAATTTCATAACATCATGTTTAGCGGGGCGAAAGTTTTTGTTTTTTTGTTTTGTTTCGAGGCTCCAATCGCAATTTTCTGCAAAGCATCCTTATTTACATAAGTATAAACATATAAATGTTTGAAGTTTAATCCATGTTTGAAAATTATCTCAAAAGGTCAAAAAATACTCAATCCGCCACTGGTGTTGATATTTAAACTAATGAAATTTTTTTTAATACCAACTGATAAAATACAAACTGTTTTAAACCTTGAAAAAAGTAAAATAAAGAAATTAACAAGTAGTTCTTAACGATATTAACTACACAGCTAGCAACTTTAATACAGAAAACAATTTTAAACATAATGTTGAGAGTAAAAACAACTTGCTGGTTTTTACAGACGATAATTGTAAGAGTAACATTAACTATGAATATGCATGAGATTTATTTGCAAGTAAGCATAGTAGAAATGTTTTATTGCTTGGTAACCCAGTCGGCAAAAAAGCTCCGTGATATATTCACGTTTTCACGTGAATATCTCAAAAGTAATCCAGTAGTTACATTCGCGTAAATATAACTAGGAGCACTTGTTCTTATGTAACTAGTTTCCTTCACGTGCAAATAACTACTAAATTTACGTAAAATATATTTTACGGCGTAACTTAGTTTATATATATACAACGTGCATAACATAAGTTTGACTGTTTGGCTTAGTAGTTTTATATCGCTGCTTTAAACAACTCTTTAGTACATGTACGTTGTAAAGATTTTTTTTAGATTTTTAATATGTATAAATATATATATATATATATATATATATATATATATATATATATATATATATATATATATATATATATATATATATATATATATATATATATATATATATATATATATATATATATATATATATATATATATATATATATATATATATATATATATATATATATATATATATATATATATATATATATATATATATATATATATATATATATATATATATATATATATATATATATATATATATATATATACATTATATATATATATTGAGTTTCAGAATTTAAGTATTTATTTCAAAATCTCCTGCTCAATCAAATTAAGTAAGTGAATGTATTAAGTTTTACGCATTTCAAATTTTTTAGTTATATATTATTTAAAAAGAATGTGCACAAGATCTTAAGATCTTCTGCACATGTTAAAAGATCTTTTAAAGTTTTGAAGTTTAAATCTTAAACGTTTCAAAAATTTACACTTTCAAAAATACGTAATTTCTATAAATTATAAAATTTAAATAT